CCCTGCCTGTACCTCAGGGTGACCTCCAGCCCTGCCTGTACCTCAGGGTGACCTCCAGCCCTGCCTGTACCTCAGGGTGACCTCCAGCCCTGCCTGTACCTCGGGGTGACCTCGAGCCCTGCACACCAAGAGCAGGTGCTGGCAGTTCCAAGGCTGGTGCTCACACCGGGGGTGTGTTCCTGCTCACGGCCTGACGCAGCCCAATCTGTGCTCTGATGCTGCTCCAAAAATTCCTGAGCCCCTGCCTGAGCAGGGGCTGTCGGAGTACGTCCAGCCTGGATTCTCCCCTGCTGGCTCTGCCCTTGAACGCAGGAGGGAGGCACCACCTCATCCACTGCCAGGACAGCCAGACCCAGCTGGGCAGGGGCAAGGGGGGCTGGGACCACCCCAAGCCCAGCCTTTGTCCACCTGGAGAAGGGCCCAGCCGAGTACCCGTGGGTCTGGCCACAAACCTGCGTCAAGGTGCTGCCGTCCGTGACCCCCAAAGGGAGCGGCCGCCGTTCCCGTCACCCTGACGGCTCATTTGGTCCAGATTGAGCCATTAAGAGCCACAAATTGGAAAACAATTTGTTTGTTCCTTGTGAGAGGCGCTCGGTGGAGCGAGTGATCGATGGCAGGGAGGGCGGCGGGCGCCGCTGCCTCCCTGCCATCCAAAGGCCATTTGTTTTGGGGTGTTTGAGGAGCTCCGACACGGATCGTTGGGAACACGGTGAGCAGGGGGACACAGGACAGGGACACGGCCCAGCCCAGGATGTCACTCAGGGGTTTATTGAAGGAGGGAGACAAATGGTCTCTAAAATACACCGGGAGGAGGGTCAATACGGGCAGGAGGGAACGTCGATATCGAACGAGGAGCAGACAGGGAATTTTGGGGGCCTCCGGCAGTGAGCAGTTCCCACCCCTCCTGTGACACCCCAGAGTTTTTTGGGGTGCAGGGAGAGAGCCAGGGCTGCAGAATGGGGCCTGTGTGAAGAGCCTCACACACACACACACACAGACACAGACACAGACACACAGACATACACCCCTCCACCCCCTGGCTCTGTGCAGCCCCAGGTGGGACCCCAGACATGCCACACATGTATAAACATGTACACAGACAGAGGTATGGAGGTACATATGTGTGTGTGTGTGTGTGTGTGT